TTTTAGAGAGAGAGAGATAATTTTTTAATATTTATTTTTTAGTTTTCGGCGGACACAACATCTTTGTTTGTATGTGATGCTGAGGATCGAAGCCAGGCTGCACGCACGTCAGGCAAGCGCGCTACCGCTTGAGCCACATCCCCAGCCAAGAAACATATTTCTAAGATGTGTGCTGCAAACCTTATCTTTCTCTGTCTCTCCATCTTTTTTTTTGGGGGGGGGGTACTAGGGATTGAACCCAGAGATGCTTAAACACTGAGCCCCACCCCCTGCCCCTTTTTAATAACATTTCATTTAGAGACAGGGTCCCACTGAGTTGTGTAGGACTTTGCTAAATTGCTATGGCTGGCTTTGAATTTGCCATCCTCCTGCCTCAGCCTCCTAAGCCACTGAGATTACAGGTGTGTACCACTGTCTCCAAGTAACATTGCATTTAATTTGTGTAAGAAGCCCAGAGATTTTAAATTACTTCCTGAGTCCCCTTCCCCAACCCTAGTCCAGTACTGGAGACTGAACCCAAGGAAGCTCTGTCCCCAGCTGGCTCTCATTTTTAAACAGGGTCTCACTAAATTGCCCAGGTTGGCCTAGAACTTGTGAACCTCCCGCTTCCGTCTCCCAAGCAGCTGGGATTACAGGCATGTGTCACTGCACATCACTGACTCCTTTTTTTAAACCAAAGGATGCACGCTACCTGCCCAGGAAACTCCAGGGAATAGGCCCAATAACCAGATTCCATATCTGTCTAGATTTCATGTTCACGAATTTTCCACTATTAACTGTCGGTTCAGTTTTGGTGCAAAAACAAGCTTATAAACAGAACCAAGCAAGGACAGCCATCCAACCCAGAACAATCCAATGCTTTAACCAGACAACAAGGTACTGCTCTGGAAATCACAGCTAGGACACAATGACAGCACATCAGGCACTCTCAGATATCAGGCCTCAGGAGGCCCTGCTGGTGGCTTAGAAGTAAGCACTACGCAGGAGCCGCAGACTGGTTTGCTCCTTTAGAAAACTGCCAGGTTGACGGAGAATCCCATCCTTCAAGGCTTCTTTCAGAAACTTGTTCTGTCTAACAGCTGCTTTCGCTTACTAGACAGGGCACACTCCATCTCTCCTCATCACCTTGACCCCTGCGCAGTAACACTCTAGGTAGGAACTAGGGCCACATTTTCAGGTGACGGAGTCCTCACACAGTTGAGCTGGGTGGGACTTAGAACCTGGCAGCCCCAACTCCACCCCCTCACCTGGCCCTCACCTGCCCAGGTACGTGTGACCACGAAATCATTTCAGAGCTGAAAGAGCCTAGAATTAGAGACTACATAATCCACACCTCTTGTTTTCAACCAGAAGTTTCTGTCTGAATACCTACTATGTGCTACACTCTCTCCTATCAAAAAGGGGGTTAGATATTCAGACTTCAATATCTACAGGTTTCCACATTTTTGAAATAAGTATAAAAAAATCAATATCATGTATATCAATATTTTAAAAAGTTGCAACTGTACTGAACATGGACAGACTTTTTTCATTATTCCCTAAATAATACAGTGTAACAACGATTTGCTACAGACAATCGTATACAGACATAAGTTCTATGCAGCTACTACTCCATTTTATATAAGGGACTAAGGGACTCTAGCACACACAGATTTTGGTAAGGGAGGGCGAAGGTCCTAAAATTAATTCTCAGCAGACACTTAGGGACCACTGTATCCTGAACTGACAGTTGAGGAAACCAAAGAGGTTCAAATTTATTCAGAATCATGACACATCTCAAACAATCCTTTCTTTTTTTGGTACCAGGGACAACTGAACCCAGGGACAGTTATCCATTGGACCATATCCCGGCTCTTTTTATTTTAAGGCAGGGTTTCAGTAAACTGCTGAGGCTGGCCTCGAACTTGGCAATCCTCCTGCCTCAGCCTCTTGAGTTGCTGGAACTGCAGGCATGTGCCACCACGTGCAGCTCCCTTAACGGTCTTGGTATTATCGCCTTTTCTGGAAGAGAAAAGGTAATAACCACTAAAATATTGAAATGATCTTAAAGACTAATCCAGTAATTCTACTCTAGGAATTTAACCTATAAAAACTAAAGTCCATAAACATACATGCACAAGCACAGGCACCGCAGCGTGGTCCATACTCTTGAAAAACTGGGGAAAAGAACCCAGCCACAGGGAACCAGACAATGTTGACATGGCGTATGATAAACTGAGGTTGATCCACATGTGTGCAAATGGAAAAAGATCAGCAAGACAAAATAAAAACAGAAAAAAATAGATGTAGCTTAAACCCAAAAGAGGAAGGAAATCTAAGAGGGGGTGGCAGATCTAGAATTATCAACCAAGCATTAACAGTGATTATTTCACAGAATTATAAGGAATTTTTATTATATATACTACCTATTTCCTTTTTGTTTTTATATTTTACTATTCCATTAGAAACTACTTTCTTCAGGGCAGGGGGCAATGCTGGGATCAACCTGGCCTCGAACTTGGCAATCCTCCTGCCTCAGCTCACCCACACTCTGACCACAGAGGATAGTAGTACGTGCTCCTGCGCAGAGCTGCTCACACAGCTACATTTTAAACTTTTACCAACCCATTTTATTTTTGTAAGGGGGAAAAATAATCCTACAGCCTTCAACTGACAAGGCTAAGACACTGTCTCCCACCTCTGGCACCTAAACCTGACTCCACTCACTCCTAACTCCATGCCCAGGGTACCAGGAGATCACCACAGCACTTCTTTTCCCTAGATATTTTTTCCCTCCACTACGGAAGGAGAGATGAAGGCACTTAGGACCAGATGGGAAAATAGAGGGAAGCCCCATCTGAGCAACTCAAATGTAGTCACGCTAATCTCTACAACTGCCAGCACAATGTCAGCTCCTAGTGACACACCTCTCATTAAATAACTCACAATAAAGCCGGGGAGGTGGTGCATGCCTGTCATCCCAGCAGCTCCAGAAGCTGAGGCAGGAGGAGCACAAGTTCAAAACCAGCCTCAGCAATTTAGCAAGGCACTAAGCAACTCAGTGAGACTCTGTCTCTAAATAAAATACAAAATAGGGCTGGGGAGGGGGCTCAGTGGCCAAGTGCCCCTCAGTTCAATGTCCTCTATCTACCTCCCCCACAAAAAAGCTGATTGTTAAGTACATCATTTGAAGATAATTTTGGCAACATAGGCTTATATAGAAACTAATTTTAAGCTTCATTTCTGTCCAATAATAAAAAATAATTTTTAGATACTCTTCACACATAAAGTAGTTTTTCATTATCACCAAAGATCCCAGACCTTAAACACTTATTTATGTCTGAGAATCTGCACTTCACAGACCAAACATTTACTTTTTACATGCCAGCAAAGATGCGTGCTTGTTATTTCACTAACTGTGATAGCTAAATTCTACGAAAGTCTTCAGTGTACTTAATATGAACTCATCCAATCTATTCTAGAATCCAGGTTCAATAGGTTCTAAGCTGCTTCCACCTGCATTCTAGAACCTTCTCCCCCACCTCTCAACTTCAAAAAAAAAAAAAAAAGTCACTGGGTGTGGTGGTGCACAGCTGGAATTCCAGCAGTTTGGGAGGCTGAGGCAGGAGGATTATAAATTCAAAGCCAGCAATTTAGAGGGACCCTGTCTCAAAATAAAAACTAAAACAGGCTGGGGATGTGGATCAGTGGTTAAGCACCCCTGGGTTCAATCCCTGGTAACCCCCCCAAAAAATAAATAAATAAATAAGCAAACAAGCTTAATCCCACCCTACTCTGCCTCCCTCTACTGTCTTCTATCTCATTAAAGAATTGCCAGATTAACCTGATCCTAAAATTCGTCTCTGAAAAACCTCAGGGGATATTTTATGATAGAAAAAGAGAGTGACTCATAACCACCAAGCATCTTAGCGTTCTGCACCCACCCACACTGCATCTGTCAATCACGAGTTACTATAAATTTCTCTGTTTTCTAGTGCACACTATTTCTGAGGTGGTAGATTCCACAGGTCCAAAGAGTATGCCCTTTCTTGGTTTCATGCTGTACTCTGCAGTGGAGTGTGAGGGTGGGCTTGTCTTAATCATGTAGTTCATGATTTTTATAGAATACATTCTTTTCACACTCCATTCTTTTTATACCAAAATGCCTTTATTACTTGTCATAATCTCTCAACTGCATTTATTCTTTATGTGAATATTCCTTTTTAGAAAGAGTCAAGTTAAAAGATGGATTTATAATTTTATAGAGCTAGACATGATGGCACATACCTAGAATCCCAGTTTACTGGGAAGCTAAGAAGGATCTCAAGTTCAAGGTCAGCCTGGGCAGCAGAGAGAACCCATCTCAAAATATAAAATAAAAAAAGGGCTGGGGATATAGCTCAGTGGTTCAATCCCCAGTAGCAAAATAAACAAACACCTCAATGGCACTAAATTTAAGTGCAAATGACTAGAGTATAAAGATACACCCTGAA